ACAAAAAATATGGGAACACCCTAAAATTTGATAGTCATATATAAACTGAAACGTTCAGAGGTCATTTATACTCTAAGGTAAATGCAACTTTTTGTGTGCTTAATAGGCACTTTAAACGACATGTTGGAACATGCAGTGAAGCAACTGATTCAATATTCGTTGAGTTTGAGTGAAATGAAACATTGTTAAAAACAGCGAAAAACAAGGATGCTGAAACACACCAGCACCATGTTTTGATTCACACGCCCAAACACAACAGCCAAGTGCATGTGAAGGACAGACTTCCCATGCAGCTTGTGGTTACTGGGCACAGGCAGTTGTGAATCAGTTCCGAAGGGCTTGGTCCATAACATATCGGTCATCTGCCCTTATCGAGGTCTGTCCTTTACTCTACCAGTGGCCTGGAACCAGTCCCTCAGTCTGTGAATGACAGAGGGAGACACCTGAAGACAGAGAGCAACACTTCTTCTGGATTCACCATCCTGTAACCATGCAATGATCCTGCTTCTATTGCGGGCGCTTAACAGTTTATGCTGTGGCATGGTGAAGAAGATGTGAAGCTTCAATACTGTCTGTAGCTTCTTTTAAAGGAATCGTTGCCACAAGCTGCATGGGAAGTCTGTCTTCCACATGCACTAGGCTGTTGTGTTTAGGCGTTTGAATCAAACATGGTGCTGGTGTGTTTCAGCACCCTTGTTTTTCGCTGTTTTTAACAATGTTTCATATCACTCGAACTCAACGAATATTGAATCAGTTGCTTCACTGCATGTTCCAACATGTCGTTTAAAGGGCCTATAAAGCACACAAAAAGTTGCATTTACCTTAGAGCATAATTGACCTCACCACGTTTCTGTTTATATATGACTATCAAATTTTAGGGTGTTCCCATATTTTTTGTTTGTAGTATATGAAATTTTGTGAGCTACAAGATCTGCCCAGGGGCAGATTACCATAGCAAAGGATGAAAACTAGCATATGGGTACAAGAGGGAGGGGGATGACAGTAAGACAATACTGATCGCAGGTAGGACATTGAAAAACATCAACGAAGATAATCAAAATTGATATTCTGTGTGGAGATGACTGATGATGGTAACATGTACAGATACCATGTTCACCAGGTTTAACACATCAGATAAAATACAAGCCACTCTCAAAAAGATAACTGCCGAAACTGCGCTAAAGCGCATATTTTACGAACGCTTCAATATCATAGATCCACGTTTTCAGTGTGAAAGTGCCGTTTGTCTCAAGCATATACTTTCATCGCATTCTAGAAAGAAAATAAATAGTGGATAATCATAACTATAACGAAGAAATACGTTAGGCATAAACGTGTAGTCATATGCAACCGATTTAACATAAACTGCACTACTTTTTCAATTTATCTCCGAATCTTCCCCAACAGTAAATAACATCCGTTTGATTGTTGTTAAAGTAGTCGGAAATAGAAAAAACTGTTTTTTCACATTTAGATCCACAATTTATGTAGTTAATATGTGAAGGTGTGAAATATCTGTTAAACTAAGTTCGGCCTAACTACAGTCTCGGTGGTAGGGAGATAGGAAACGTAAAAAGAGGACTTTACTGAGTAGTCCAGCATATAACTAGACGACTTTGCACTATACCAAGGTGTGCTCGATGTAGGCCTTGGCTGGAATACGAGTTTATTCATATGAACTATTTACTGAGGAGAGATGAGTGCAGAAGTGAGCAATGTGGGTTTTTTATAAGTCCAAGTCGACTTATGTGGAACAGACCTTGGCTTCTTGCAAATTAGTGTGCGATGATATTGTATTACAAAGGACACTTTTTAAATGCCCATTTTGAAATTAGACTTAGCTTCATTTGAAACCATAGCTGACGTACAAAATAATATTTTTAGCTTGTGAAACTCTTAAGGATGTAGCTACCATGGAGTCTCACTACCACTATATAAACAAACAGACATGGGAGGGGGTTGTCGCAGACGGTGTCTTCTCATGAAGTCACCAGTAGGGATGAACACTATTCGCACTAAGTCACTGGTGATTTTGCTTTGAAGTTTCTAATCCAATCAGGTTGGGGTCGGGCTTGGGGATAGAGATATCAGCTAAGATAAGATACTCCTTGAGGGGAATTAAACTGGGGAAGTAACAATTTACAAATAATATGTAGTCCTGTCGATCTTCGGGTGGCCATGCTACCTATGTATATTTTTTTTAGACATTTAATACGATGGCAGATTTAAGCCTTTCTATGGGTATCATACTGTTTTATATATCTCAACATAAACTTTATGAAAAAAAGACACGTTAGATGTTAATCAATATTTGAGACATATTCAACACACAAGAAAACATCTTTGAGATGACCCCTTATGCCTGTAGGCAGCACGTGCAACCTATGCTCGGTGTGTGGACCTGTCCATCATCATACCTGGCCGAGCGACCTAATTGTCATCTATAGTCTGATCTATTGTTTTAAGCAGCTACATGTGTATTCGTTTTGCCTGATTTTACGAGTAAACATGCTTTTCTGGATATCCTATTACGCATCCCACTGAACCCCCAGTTAGGCCGATGTGGGTTATTTCGACATATGCTATTTGCAATTCTGTAAATTTTAGGGATACAGAGTAACAGCAAAAAAACAGTTTTTTTTCTATTTCCGACAGTACTTTTTTAGTGAAATATTACTAAGTGGACAACCCTTCTCCCAGTTTGGTTACAAGATGCGAACTTTTCTTGGTTCTGTGTTGTACATTCAGGTTTAGTATCACCTACATATAACTAATATTATATATAGTTACGAATCTTCTTTGATGGGCATTTTAGAAGTTGAGTTGATGAAGGATAATGACAATTATTATGGATATACAACTTCTTTATTCTGTGGAGGCGACGTTTCGACATAGATTCTAATGTCGTTGTCGATGACTTGCTTGACAAAGACATTAGAATCTATGTCGAAACTTGCTTGACAACGACATTAGAATCTATGTCGAAACGTCACCTCCACAGAATAAAAGAAGTTGTATATCCATAATAATTGTCATTATTCTTCTTAGTTACGAATCGCAAAGAGAATCTGTTTCAGTGAATGTACCCACAAGTAAACACGTGATGAAAGCATCAGCACTATGTATTAGAGTGAGTGAGTGGGTTTAGAGTTATGCCGCACTCGGCAATATTCCAGCTTTATGGCAGCAGTCTGTAAATAATCAAGTCTGGACCACACAATCCAGTGATCAACAGCATGAGCATCGGTCTACGCTATTGAGATACGATTACATGTAGCAACCAAGATAGTGAGTGTGACGACCCGATACCGTTGGGTTACTGAAGATCAGTTCTCATACGGATCGTTCTATATATTATAAGTTGTCGCCCTTGTATATCATAACCATTGCACAATGCTGATGTTCTAAATACATTGTACGCTGAGGAATCATATGCGTACAAAAAAATATGAAAATTCATGCTTCCGGATCAACAGATCGGAACTATGAAAACGAGCGATACACCATTTATAAATACCATTCGTTGCCACGGATTTTGCTTGTATGCTCAAAGTCTTATGAGTTGAGAAAAACATAATAACCTTTTGAAATTAAGATTGGACAAATTAATGTTTCAGTCTCTGTTCACTGTTAACAACTAAAAATAAAAAAGTAGCATTTTTATTTTGACAATATAGAACTTGATAGAGCCAAGTAACTGATGAAGTAAATCCAGTTCTTTGAACAAATTTATCATTTTTCCCTAACTTGAAAAACTGACTTGTCCCGTTAACATGATTCAAACACAATCTGCAAACCGACACAAATTCTTATTTGTTTAATCATGTTATTGCTACCCGGAAACAAAAATAATATCTCTATAGCAAAATAATTAGAAAAACGTGTATAATAATACAACACACTTTCGCTAATTTCAGGGAATTTGTCTTAAAAGGTCGAATGCAATACAGGTGATCATCTGTTTCTGACAACATTACGGCTATTCACCGGATTAAAATTGACAAAATAGCACTTGAAAGATCAGATTTCATTTAGACTGACTCGTCGGATACCGTTGCTGAGAACTGTCTACATACCTCAACATCTTCAGCGTTCACTTTGTGACCTATTCCAAAGACAAATATGCAAACAAGAAAGCTCCAAGTGGATGGCATGACTGATACCAGAGACCATATAATAGATTGTGGTCTCTGCTGATACAGAATAAGATCCTTCAAAAATTAATTTCCGTTCCATAAATTATGTTGCAAAACACTTGTCACGTCATGGAGATATTGAACTTGTTTTCTGCAACATGCGTATCTGCCTTTTCTCGAGATATTATTTAATCTGTGTATATGCAGATGCATTAAAAAATGGGTTCGTTTTGGTTGTTGTAGGTCCAATCGAAGTTATTCAGTCGAAAAGAACATCATACAAAGTTGTCTATATCAACTGATATAATTATTAATATGATGTATTGTGTCCATTGCTCTCACAGAACAGTGCCGGAATTATCTCTCTCCATTTCAGATGTAAAAACGAGAAAGGAGAAATATTCAAACTGCCCCGCATTTCGTTGTGTTTTATTTCAGAAATTTCCGATCTAGTCACCATGTGAACACCAACACGATTGTCGAAAGAGCGGCTTACGGAGTTTACCGAACTGTAACGAATCTGCGCTGAGGCATTATGGGAATGGCATAGCCAAGCCGGCTAAAGGGAAAAAAGTGCTGACCTAGAGTGTTGCTGCATAAATTTCCTTCTAATCGGCGCTCTGTCGGATTGGAGTATTCAGACATATTTACACGAAATCCATCCTGGAATGACAAGACCCAGTGGGTAAGTTGGCTAACCAAATAGAATCGCACATGTGAGATAACCTGGGCACTATGGGCGATAACCACTGCCGTGCGATATGTTGTGGTTTTCAAAATGGCGACACGGTTACTGCCCTTGGAAAACCCAGGGGCGACAATTTTCATAAGTTAGCCCCCTTATTTTTTAGGATAAGTAAATAATGTCATTATTCTTTGAAGTCCCGTTGTCAGTAATTGTTTGCAAAGTTCCATTTTGAGCGGAGAGCCTCTCAGAAAAGCGCAAGTATCTGTCGTCTTTGCTAAACGACAACAAAGGGACAAATGGCGGAGTGTCTGGCCTGGCATCGCGCATGTGTTCCCGGCAAAGGAAGGGAATAAAATTGCGAGTTGGTGCCCCTGAATCATCCATTGCAAGTGTGCCTTCGTTTGATGATTAAGTTTAATCAACACACCCAGCATTATTCACGCGATGATTTCGAAAGTTATGAATGGGGGAATTTCTACATTGTAATATATTTAATAATTGCGAAAGGTTCAAGGTCGGGCTTTATTAGCGTCATGTGACTAGAATCCGCTAGATCCAGCGCGCGAGGCGAGAGAGGAAGTGATTTGCTGCAGCACTCAATAGTGTCAGACAGACCAAGAATAAGACTTTTTCGATGTTTAGAACAAATTTCCACAGAGGAAACAAGACGCGGCTCACACGGATGTATGAAAGAGACAGAATGTTTCAGATTTAACAGAAAAATATTGAGGATCAAAATATTTCTTGTAAATATTATTTAATAAAATAAATTCAAGTTATTTTCGGATTGCTACGATACAACTTCTAAATATGGATGCAACAATGTTCTAGTTTTTTTTATATTATGTGTTATGGGTTTTATTTAGTTCAAGTATGTTTATGTATAGAATATGTATAAATATAAAAGACAATAGATGGAGTTTATTTTTATCATGACAAATTACCATGCCAACAGTGATCATTTTGGAGTAAGAATTTGGGATTCATTTTCTGTAATTGCAATATTTCTTGATATTAACTCCAGAAAAATATCATTAGATTTACTTTTATATGAGTTCTGAATTTTATCATTCATATTTTATGCATTTAACCGTTTTTAAAGACTAGGAATACATGTAGCATCAGAAATTAAATGTCACACTCACAGGCAATGAAGCATGTTAGGTTTCCTGTGAATTATCATAATTGTTATAGTTTCATGTCCATTGATGGTCGTGCAAAGATTATGTCTTCAGAAATTAACAATACAGATATGTTGGTTTCCAAACCAAAGGTTGGAAATTTAATGGGGTAATTCTTTCAACAGTAATTTAGCGAGAGGCAAATGTCATAAGGATGTTTTTGGGATACTATTTGTTGGTCCTAACATTCCTCTATTCCTGCCAGTAATGATAAACAGGTAATGATAAACATATAGAACAATTTTCGGGGATTGGGATAGATAACTTTGACAATGGGCCATTTTCAGGATTATTAGCCATTTCCTGAATTAAGAATGGGCCACTGCCCTTGTATCAATAATAAACTTCAAATTTTTAATATGCCATTTTTTATTCTAATGTGCAAAATGGCCTTGTTCCCAGTCCCTGGTTTTTTAATGGCAGTTAACAGCTCTGAAATCCTATAGTTCTGGAACAGAAATTAATGAAATTTTTTTTTATAAGGATGGTGTAATTTGTTAGAGGTGCATGGTGTGAACTGAAACAATCCGTGAGATTTGTTTCTTGATGTCAGTTATTTTTGGTGAAACAACAAACAGTTCAATCAGATAACTCACTATTATGAATTAAATGTTGGAATGATATTACTGTGGTGGTAAAATGAATGATATTAATAGATATAGAAACAGTATACGAAATAGCCACTGGCCCGTCAGCCTGTGTCTAGTAAAAATCCAGTCAGTCCAGTAAATCTCCACAGTCTCTGGCCCAACATGCTAGTGAATTTTCATAGGTGATTTTGTAAATATATCACTCTCTCCGACTTGTTAAGTTATAATAGACTTTTAAATCATGCAAGATTATGGCCTGATAAAAATCTTCATCACATTAGCAGATTTAATGATGAAACCTGTGTCATGCTGACAATATCTTATTCTCATCTATTTTGGTAATCTTTTGCTTAGTTTCTACATTGTACATTCAAATTTCGGGTTAGTGAATTATTTTGTGGGCTAGTAACTTTCAGGCATAGCTAGCCCGACTGGCTCACAAAATTTGAAAACTGTTTTGCACTCTGTATGGAAACATTCTTTGCTAGCAGGTACAATTTTTTTTATAAATGGTACTAAATACCCTCCTGCATTTTGTCTTGATAAAAGTCCAAATGTGAAGTCTGTGGGTATGATCACAACAAAAAATGTACCCTTTTGACATTACTGTAAAAGCCGAGAAAATGTGTATTAATCTGTTTATATTTCATGCAGGAATACAGGTGACAGTCATATGATGTTAAGAGTTATAATAAGGGTCAGAAAGGCCAAGGAGATTGTCATGTGTGCATTTTGGAGAATATTGTGTCAGCAAGAAGTGTAGAATATTGCTTATTCAAACAAATCATTCAAACAGTCCTATTTACTTTCAGTTATTATTAGTGTGACATTGTTTTGATATGACATCGTTTAAAGAGGGCTGAAGCCATCAGATAGTTACCTAGGATTATTGGTCTTGATGCTTTCTGCCACCTGTGAAATATGCTTACAAATAAAGGTACATATTACACGTGAGCCGAATCATTAGAAATTGGTAATGAAAATGACAATCCCATTAAAACTATTTTTCTTAAATCTGTTTCAGTAGACTGACTTAATATTGTGTCATGATTTTTAAAGTTAACAGTAGTTCTTTTGCGTAAATGAGGATATTGTCCAATTATTGGGTTAAAACAAAACTACACAACAACGTTGCTGTAAGTTTTCACATGTGATGGAGGAAAATGATGTGTATGCAACAGTGAGGTTTTGAGTTAAGATGATACATTTTCAACTTTTTAAGTACCTACATATTGTTTTCAGAAATCATTCTTTAAAAATCAGTGGTGCAAGAGCTTGTCTGACTGATGAAAGGGGTACCTGTGAAGATCTGGGTTAGCATTGGTCTTCTGCAACCTATGCTTGTCGCAAGAGGCGACTAACTGGATTGGGTGGTCAGGTTCGCTGACTTGGTTGACACGTGACATCATATCCCAATTGCTTAAATCACTGCTGATGATGTTGATCACTGGATTGTCTGGTCCGGACTTGACTATTTACAGACCAAAGCCATATAGCTGGAATATTGCTGAGTGCGGCGTTAAACAACAATCAATCAGTCATGGAAGTGGTTGTGTCAAAGTATTGTGTAATGGTAATTTTGAAACCCTGTCCATAACATGTTTAAGATACTCATTTCTTTATGTTTGTAGGCTTAAAGTTTCTGTTATTTGTTTTCATATGACCTTTGTTGTAATCTAGGAAAGGGGAAGTTATTACATCATTTAACTGAATAAGGTGTTAAATTAACTCAAATCTGAAAAGATTAGGAAACTAATTGCAACACATTTGATATAACTGGAGTGTTCATTTATTTTCAGTTGAAGATGGAAAATCAACAACCACCAATGGAAGGGGAGACAAGCACAGGTGGCTATGGTGATGGAGCTCAGCTCATGGATGCTGTTGTCCTACAAACTCAAGAGATGCCCAAGACACTGATGCAGGGCGACACAGGGACTGAAACACAGCAGTACATGATTGTAGACCAAAATGGAGCTGAAGCCCAGCAAATAATTCTGGAGACCACACAGCCCAGTGCTATAGGAGCAGCTGCACAAGCAGCTTTTGGTGCAGCCACAAGTGTTGCCTTGGCATCTGGAGATGGGAGTGTTAGTATCATTCAGGGGGGATCTTCCCTTGATAACCAGGCTGCCGCTGAAGCCATCCTGCAGTTAGATCAACAGCAGCAAGGTGAAGTGGTCCAGATGGTGATTCCTGAAGGAGCTCAGATTGTTGAGAATCAAGGCCAGGTTCAGATTGTAACCACAGAAGCTGGAACCGGGAGACAGTATATTCATGATCCGCACACAGACACGATCACCATAATCCAGAATCCATCTTCTAGTCAACAAGACTTGTTTGCAGGATCTCAAGTCGTAACAGAACAAACTGTTATCCAAACTGGAGCCCAGACAGAGGAGTTAGAAGAGGAAGATGGCGAAACTAGAATTATTAGTTTAGAAGAAGAAGCAGTGGAAGATGAGGCTGAGGTGGATACACCAGTGGTAGCTGAAAGTCAGGGGGAAGTTTCAGATCGTCAGCCAGTAATAGAAGAAACAATAGTTAAAGAAACATATGTTCCTCTTGAAGAAGGAGATGGGGCTATAACTGAAACAAAGGAGGGTCAGTCTGTGGAAGGAAACACTACTGGTCAAGAAACAACAGGTAAAGCAGTGCAGTCACAGAACAAGGCAACTGTACAAGAAGTTGATCAAAATGCAGAGACACAGAAAATTGATAGTGAAGATGGTGTTGCTGATGAAAATCAAGCAGCTGATGAAGCTGAGACTGAAGCAATAGAAACAGAAGATGCAGAACCAGCTGTTCCTGAGAAGACAGTTGAAGAAACAACTCCTAGAAGGAGAGGTCGCCCAGCAAGAAAGGTTGAAGAACCTAAGGCAAAGGATATTCCTGAAGAGACTGCTACTCCAGAGAAAAGACGCAGGGGAAGGCAAAAATCTGACGACACACCTGTTGAACCTGAACCAGAAAAAAAGGTAGAGGTCGACCAAAGAGAGATGTAAAGGAAAGTGAACCTGAGCCAGAAACTCCACCAGCTGAAGAGGTAGCGACGCCGAAGAGAAGGGGAAGACCGCGAAAAGATACAACTGAAACCCAAGAAGTTGAAACACCTCAAGAAAAGTCCCAAGAACCAGCACAAACAGAGGACACCTTAACTCCAAGAAGAGGAAGAGGCAGACCCCGTAGAGATACAACAGAGACTCAAGCAGTTGAAACACCAACTAAAGATACTCCCACTGAAGGTAAAGGAAAGAGGGGTAGACAAAAGAAAGAACCTGCTCCAGAACCTGAAGAGGAAGAGGAAACTCCTAAACGAGGCAGAAAAAAACAAGCCGACGATGAGAGTAAATCCCCTCAAGTCGTGACAAAGGTTGTTCCTCTTGATGGAGAGGATGTACCTGCCAAGAGAGGCAGGGGAAGGCCTAGAAGGGAAGAGCTAGTTCAAGTGGTTGTTACAGACACTGCTTTGGAAACTGATGAGGAAACCCAGCCGCAGGCAGAGGAAGGAAGAAGTCAAAGAAGATCGGGTAGAGCAGCTAAAGAGCCTGTTGCTGAGCCACCTGCTCATGTCACCCGAAAAACGCTCCAAGAGGAAGAACAACTTGAAACTCCTTTGAAGAGAGGTAGGGGAAGACCCAAATCAACTGATTCTGCACCATCAAGTGCCCAGAAAAAGGCTTCAGCACCATTGGCAGATGTTGAAGAGCCAGATGAAACACCAAGAAGGGGTGGAAGGAAGAGAACCAGAGATGCTGATGAACCAGAGGCTGTTGAGGTTGCAACTCCAACAACTCCTGCAAAAAAGAAAGCAAAGGGCCAGGAAAGTGTTAAGCAAGAGCCTTTGGAAATGGAAGTAGAAGAAGAAGTAGAAGAGGAGGAGGAGGAAGAAGAGGAGCTGGGGATATTGGAAGAGGAAGAAGGTTTTATTGTTGTTCCTGCGGTTCATGAAACAAGCCAGTCTGTAGGAACAGGAATGCAAGATACCGAAACAGTTCATGTTCAAACACCAAGACAGCATTCTGTTGAAACAGGCACTACTCCAATTACACCAGAAAGAGGCAGGAGAGACTACGATGATCTTGCAGGAACTTCTAATGACATATATGACATCGATCAAATTGATGAAGATGAATATGATGAAGATCATCTCAAGTCTTCAACTCAGGCAACACAGACTCCCATAACTGCTCATTTTGTGGAGGTTGAGACGATTTATGAATCTCCTGGAAGAAGGTCTGTACAAACACAAACTGATCCTCGATTAAAGAAGAAGAAGTTTGGCCCTCTTAACATAGATGCAGAAAATGATCCTTTGATGGATGATGATGAAGAAAGTCCAAGAAGGAGACGCAGGAGGGAAGATGACATCAGTTTGTTTGAAGATACAGAGCCAAGGAGAAAATCCATCAAGAGAAACACAGAAGAAGCTTTGAAATGTCCATTCTGTGATCGAGCTTTTATTGGCCTGGTAAAGCACATCAAGAGTAAGCATAAAGATGAGCCTGACTTTGATGAAGAAATGAGAAATGCCAAGTGGAGAGAAAGAATCATGAAGGTATCTACTCAAGGAGTTGATGATTCTGGTGAGACCTGTGGAGAATGTGGGAAAATCACCAAGAACATGAAACGACACATGGAATTGCACCAGCAGAACCGAATGCAGATTCCTTGTCCTATCTGTGGAAAGGTGGTCCTGAAGACAGGAATGAGCTCTCACATGCGCACAGTTCATTCTGGAAGAAAGCCTTACAAGTGCCCCCACTGTGACTATACCTCAGCATTCCGAGGCAACCTGAACACTCACATCAAGGGCATGCATCTTCATACCAGACAGTATCTCTGCAATACATGCAAAGCTGCCTTCAAGACACTTGGAGCTTTGATTGGTCACACAAAACGTGTTCATGAAGGCTGGAAATCCCCAAATCAGAAGATTTTCATTTGCTCAGTATGCGAGAAAAGATTTACGAAAAAATACCATGTGGATCGTCACATGCTTATTCACACTGGAGAGAAGCCTCATAAGTGCAACGACTGTGGACGATGTTTCAATAACAAATCCAACCTTATGTCTCACATTCAGTTGGTTCACAAGAAGCTTTCCCCATACATGTGTGACATGTGTCACGAGACCTTCAAACGTAAGAAGCTCCTTCTGGAGCATATCGGAAAAGTACATGTTGCTCATGGTGAGGCTGCCAAGGCCATGCAGGCTTACATCAAGAAGATTGAGGAGGAGGTTCCAGATGATCCAGAAGAAGCATCAGCTATGGAGCAAACTATTACGCTCACCCAGGAAGGGGAAGATGGAGAGGATGGAACTACGACAGTTTACACTGCAGTGGGTGATGGGACTTACGCCACTGTGGTCAATGATGCCACACAAATGCTGCAGGGCCAGGCATTCACCACCCTACAGACTGAGGGAGGCCAAGAAACCATCATTATCGTCCAGGCAGCAGATCCAAATGAAGTTACCCATGCTATTGTTGAGCAAGATGGACCTGTACAGTTTGCCATGCAGCCAACAGCTGATGATCCAAATGCTGCAACAACTATATATACAACAATGCAAAACTAGGTTAGTAACATACTTATGAGTGACCTTATATTTTTTTAATGATCATCTCATTTTGAGGTTCAGCAGATCTGTTAAAATTTACTTGTATTGAAAAACTGATTCAACATGTTCAAGGTTGTTTCTCAGTTATTTGTTTGATCTGTGTGAGTTTTAATCTTTTGGAACTGCAAACTGTTGTGGGATTAAACTTGCAATATAGAAGGCCCCAGACTGAAAAGCTATCATAATGTTCTTGTAAATGCTGTTATTGTTGTGACTTTGTTAGAGACCAATAGAAATTAGATATTTACATTAAGATGTCCTCCAAATTCCAATATTACTGTGAAGCTCTGGTGTCCCCTGTCGTGATATTGCTAAAAGCAGCCTAAAACCTCTCTCTCTTTTCTCTTTCTTCTCACTCTCAATCACTCACTCCAATATTACTGTCTCACTCACTCATGTTTTCACTCATGACCATCATTGAAAATGATCCAGACATGTTTTGGATGACCATCATTGAAAATGATCCAGTGTTTCAGATGAAAAATAATTGGCAACGAGAACCTACAGACTTCAAAAGCTGCAGGTCCTCACTAAATTCTTCAAGCCCTCATTTAACAAAACTGCAGCTTTTTTTGTGACACATAACATTTGAAATTACTTCAATCCAGAAGTACCCATACAACCCTGCTTAAGTAGTCACTACACTAAAATGGCTGAGCAGAATGTCAGCTCTTGGATTGAAAGTGGCTTTGAAATGTTATCAAATAAAAAAACTATATTAAAATATTTCTTACCTGCATGTCTGCCAGCTAAAACATTAATGCCACATTCCTTGCTAACAGAAACATCTTTATATATTTTTCAGGGGTTTGATGATCATAGAAGATACTACCTGTGGCTGAATGTTGCCGGAGTGATGAATTTATTGCATGGACAAAGAAATTAATTGTGTTCTGGGATGTCTACATCTGTGACAGACCCAAGTCCTCAGCTCGTGCACATGTGATGAGGAACATGTCCAGAGAACCTGGAGACATTCTGATCAACACATCCATTCTGCTATAGGCTGTTTACAGGGCATAACAATGAGCGATTAATGACAAGAAGTTTAGCAGTGTCCTGTTGTTTTGTCTACCATGAACATTCGAGACTTGTATGATCGTACAAGCAGTGAAAGGCTAAATGTTTGATGGACTGATTTTACCAAAGTCATCAGCAAATGCTAAGGGAGTATTAACTAGTATTTCAGACAACTAAAACTTCTAATGTATTTTGGTTTAGTTTATTTGTGGAAAATAACTGAAATATTGTACCTTAAAGAAATAAGACCACAGAACTTTGCAACAAAGTAAATCAAATGTTATGTTTTGCTCAAAACACTACTTGAACACTGAAACAGATATGGCCATGTTAAAAACTCTGAAATGAAAATACCTGAGTGTGGAAGATGTATCCAGTAGACATTGTAGATAGCCCTAGCAGTGATCATGTGGGTGGGAAATTACTGTTGTCATGAGATGTAATGTTACATTTAATTGTAAAAAAGATTGACGTGTTGTCTTCAGTTCATTATATTTTTAATGCTAATGAGACATTTGTCTCTGTAACCTTGCACTTTGATCGATACTTTTGCCTTAATATTTCTTCTCAAAAACTTGTTTTTTTGTGTTTTGAACTCTAGTTACTGAGAATTATTGAACATGCACAGCTTGTATGATAGCCTCACTGACAATTATGCTGTTATTTCCTAATAATTGGCTTTGGATGTAAATAGAATTGTTATTGTTACAAAATGTAATTATTTGTTTTAGAACACCTGTTTTACTTGTTTTGGGTAAATGTATGTGTACAAGTCTTATTCAGACAAATGCTTTTGAGATTATGTCAAAAATGAACATTCATTCTATTTTATAGTGTTCATTGCTTTTTTCATCCAATTTAATCAAGTACATTGAATTACTGGAAACATTTTTTAAAGTTACTTGTCCATTTGAAAAGATTTACTGGTAGGGGGTCATTTCCATTGTTTCAGTGTCTTATTTACACTGATTTACAGTCGTATTGTGTTCTTAAGGAGGTTACAATGAATTGTTGCAAAATAACCCACCCTTTCATGCAATAATTCAGGAAGGTACAGCAACACATTCTTGTGTCAGATTGTAATGATCACAATATTAATATTATTTTTCATAACATGACACATTAACTCCTAATGATGTGTTGTATGTCCATTATTTTCATAATGACCTGAATGAAGCCAACATCTTTGTACACTTCAGTGGGATTTAATTTTCCAAAATTGATATTAAATTATTTTCAGGAGGGCTTACAAGATTTTGTATGTTTTTTTTTGGAAAACGTGTGATTTCAATGTTAGAGCATTTGAGACAACTTGAAAATGAGAGATGAAGATGGTTTTATTATGAAAGATGAATATTGTTGTCCCATTTTGTTTTAAGCATATAACACAGGAGCCTTTTTCAAATCAGTACTTTTTATTGTGAAGAAAACTATTCTCCCATCTATGTACATAACAGAAACAACAATAGAATGAATTTCATGATCAGGTATGATTGAGATACATAAGGTTTAAGGGACTTAAAAAGTACATTAGTATTTCAAACATTTCAGCTTATATCAAGAGACAAACATTTGAAAAATGGAGATGTTTGTATGTCTGAATATTTTTGTCATGTTAAATCTTACTGGGGAAGAAGGGTGGGGTTCACTGGTGACCTGTCATAGCAGAGTTACTTCCCTTAGGCACTCCAGACATCAGTGATCCTGGATTTCAACCCTGCATTCTCCCTTGTATACTTGAAGGTTTGTCATGTGCTTACATGTTTCTACAAAGTGGTTAATGTGTGAAAACTGCATAACTTTGGGGTTACATTTAATTGACATGCCCTGACAACTAGAAAACTGTTCAAAGCGGCATAAATACCAACTCACTTACTCAATCTGAAACTGATATCATTCCTGAGATATAATCTATAGCATGCCCTACATATTTGTGTAAATTTCATGGAGTATTTGTTTTAAGGCTTTTGATTAAGATGAATGATTCTGACAAGCATGAGTACTTATATTCTGCCCCATTTGCAAAGATTTGTTACACAATGTTTCATCAAATGTGGTTGGCACGGATGTGTGATGAATGTTTGATGTATGCACTTGAGTGATTAATGGAAGCCACCTTACTAAGTGGTGGAATGACTGAAGAAGGATCTTTGGTGGCAATGGAATGTTCACTGAAAGTTGACAAAAAGATAGAAATCTGCATGGGAATAACTAACTTGAACATTTTGTGATGTTGCTGAGTTATCAATAATGTAACTCATTTGTCATGAAAGTATCGATTGAATTTATGTTTAATAATTATGCTATAGTTGCGTGTTCTGTACAAAATCTGCAAGTCCACCAGTAATAAAGCTTCATGTGAAATATGTGTCTTGTTTGTTCCATTGATGATCACAAATTTCTGTAGCCGTTTTGGTTAAGCAAGAAATGGCCTGCCCCTGCATGCTGTGTGGGAAACAGAAAATATTTTGTCTTCAGGTACCTAGCCTTAGTGCAGTCAACAATACAAGACAAAAGCTTAATATCTGGAAGGTTATTTCCCGCCAGTAGCTGATGTGGTGCTCTTAATATTCACTCTTTGCAAATATATAGCGTCAGTAAAAACAACACACACACAAAATAGTTGTAATGACGTTTTGGTTATATTTGTTTAACACTGCACTCATCTTCGCTATGGACAAGAGGAGACTACACAGTGCAGATGCATTCATTTTAAAATAATATATAAAAAAATAAACATTTTCTTCCACAAAGTGATATGTATTTGTGTAGTGTTTGACTAACATTTATCTATTTGTTGTGTAAACTGGACAGCTTGAAAAAAAAACATGGAGGAAAAGGAAGGCTAAATACAAACATACTTTCTGCAGGAGAGGGAAAATCAGACAAAGTATCTACAGGTTTTTGATTGATCATAGATTCAAATCGCTATTATTGGTTTGTATTATAAGGGGGTAAGCGCAGTAGCTAAAACAGTGAAACAAATGCACGTGCAGTACGTGATGAGCGTTAACTTAGACCAACCCTACTTGTTCTCGGTGTTTCATTTAATGTGCATACCCCGTTGTAATACAAACCAATAATAGCGATTTGAAACTTTTACCCTAAGTTGAATAAAATTCTGAGATTTAAATGTTCAATTGGCAGGGTAATTATGAGGATTCACAATCTTAATTTCACTTTAATCGAGTTACATTTTTGTTTAAAGTGAAATTCAGCGGTACGTTTTCACTGCAAACAGACTATAAATGTGACTCGTGTATGGTTGGTGCAGGAACGGCAACGAAGTAGACCTCATTGACATGACTCGTATGGTTGGTGCATTAACGGCAACACGTACAGATCTCGTGAACATCACTCATATGGTTGGCGCAGGAACGGAAAGAGCTGGACCTCGTGAACATCACTCGCATATGGTCGGTGCAGGAACGGAAAGAGCTGGGCCTCGTGAACATCACTCGCATATGGTCGGTGCAGGAACGGAAAGAGCTGGACCACGTGAACATCACTCGCACATGGTTGGTGCATTAATGGAAAGAGCTGGGCCTCGTGAACATCACTCGCATATGGTTGGTACAGGAACGGAAAGAGCTGGACCTCGTGAACATCACTCTCATATGGTCGGTACAGGAAGGCCAACAAATAGACCTCATAAACGTAAGTCACATATGGTTCGGGGCGGTGGGGTAGCCTAGTGGTTAAAGCGTTCACTCGTCACGCCGAAAACCCGGGTTCGATTCCTCACATGGGTACAATGTGTGAAGCCCATTTCTGGTGTACCCCCGCCATGATATTGCTGGAATATTGCTAAAAGCGGCGTAAAACTAAACTCACTCACTCACATATGGTTGGTGCAGGAAGGCCAAGAAGCAGACCTCATAAACATGACTCTTATGGTCTGTGCATTAACAGCAAATGTACAGTAAAGATCTTGTGAACATCACTCGCATATGGTTGGTGCAGGAAGGGCAAGAAGTAAAGATCTCGTAAACATTAATTATATATGGTTGGCGACAGAAGGGTAAGAAGTGTACTTGTACAGAATTACTAGTTTTACCAAAGCTACAAAACTTTAGCGTCAGGCAGGCAGACACCACAGTACTTTTTAGTACTTCGGGGCGGCCATAAAATCCTTCTCAGTTTACGTGAAATGTAATCCATGGAACTGAGCTGGGCTCCGTCTCTTCATACCATGGAATGTCGCAAATTAACGACACGCAGAAAGAGACTTTAACCAGATTACACGAAGCATGTCCGTAAACCTCTTTACCGCGCAGGCCAGACGACGTAGAACAGCAGAATTAAGCGTGATTCGACCGTGATTAATAAGGTACTTGCATGTATGTGTTACAAATAAACATTAACGCAGGCTACTCAATGTATAATTCTAGTTTCCTCTCTTACATATCAAGACCACGATCACTGAACGAAGAGGGACCAATGTCCCCCTCCTCAAGCAGTGTAGGAAAGATGTAGAAAATCTAGCCTGTCCAGAGAGGTCAAATATTTACCAGTCCTGAAAATCTAGCCTGTCCTCCAAATATGCGATGACAATGTCATTGGTCAACGATAATAGTCTCCTCCAGAAAATTCACTGTCCTTGACTCAAGAACCGCATTATTTTCCCTTCTGCCTAGCCCTTTCTGCAATGCTAAGCCCCCAAATGAAGCAAGTCAAGCTTTCCCCAGGTCCGAATATCTTGTCAAAACATGGTCATTGTTGGTTTCTATCAAAATATATTTATTCAGGGACTAAACGTTAGTCAACCAATGATAGGTGCTTTGATGGCGCATGGTTTGGTTGCTTGATGCGAAAACCACTGTGATCTTGGGAACTAGAATCGTCATTTTGGTGGATATATACGGCACCTGTGTGATTGGCATCCCAGAATGTTAATTTTCTTACTCTCTAATCACGATAATCAGTCAAGCACGATAACAGTGCAGTAATCTGCATGGAAGTGTTGCTAAATGTTTCTGATATACTTTTAAGTTTGTAAGTTTTGTGAAAAAGGTATCTTAACAAGAATGATTGGGTTATTCTGTTTTTATTCATGCTATGTTAAAAACGTGTGTTTTTAGTCGAAATAGATTTTAGTCTTTGTTTGTTAAAACAAACTGGTGGCAAATCTGGTTGCTCATGCACTTAGTTGATACACTGTATGTCAGCTGGTATGGTGTCCTACTGCTGTCGCTGCCGTTGACGTCGCCATTACAAAAAAATGTCTCAGATGAATTGCCTACCACTCCTAGGCCTGTCGGACGTATTACCTAGCTGTTTGTCTTAGTCGTTGCATCAGTCTGATGACAGTTGATCGGGTGCAGCTGAAGGTTCTGGCAATGATGGTGTGGTTAGCTGCTTGTTGGGATATTCCAACAGCTCTCTTTCTTTCGATTTGCCCCAAATGTGGCATATTTTACTACTGTGTTGCTCATGTGTTACATAGGCTGTTTAATGCACTTGCACATCACATGCACATGCATTATGTGTTACATCATAAAAGTCGTTTTGGACTTTTTGTGACGTTTAGGTGATTCGTTAACTTTTTTCGCCACTTATTCCTGGAAAGGATAGTATGGTTTTATCACTTTATTATTATTTTTGTGATTTTTTGTTCATTATTTTGCATTCTATAGTTTCTTTTGAGTACTAGTTTATAAAATTAGCTTCAGTACAACTAGTGCCCAAATACACATGTATGCACATCACTGTGTAAGTGTCCTAATTTTGTAAACAATGTTTCACCTCACCTCACCAGGGATTTACTGGACGTGAATTTATGAATACTCATAAAAATTGACAATGGACGCAACAAAATTTATTAGCACGTCCACAGGGACGCAGAAAAAGTCCAATCAAGTGACAATAAATTGTCACTGAGTTTGCTACTATCTGGGTTATGGTATTATTTGGAATTTAATTACTGTAACAATGTGATGATCATGATACACAATACAATAACAGTATTAATAATAATATTTAAGTGTCTGGGACCCCCATTTTGTTGTCCATGACCCTGGAAACTTAAGAGTATGAGTCCCAGGGAACCTCAAATACAGGTCTCCATGTAAATTCCTGCCTCACCTCACTTGTTTGATGTTTTGTCCCAGTGTAAAGGAAAGACGTTATTTCAACAAGTAAAGAAAAAATTATGATACAGCCAAAGTGTACAGTAATAATGATATTCAGTTAACTTCCCACCAACCCAGGAGACTGGAGTGTGATATTCTTTGTGAACAAACCACTGATGCATTAACAAAATTGAACAAATATTGTATATCTTGTCCTTCCTAGTATGTAGAGACAATGCATTGTTTATAATAATCAGATGGTTTTTATCATTCCTACAAGTGTAATTTTCACTGGTCACCTTTGCAGATTTGTTGGAATATAAACAGGAAAACCTGAATGGAGGAAGCAAGACCAACAGGCCAAATACAGCTTCTGCCAAGGAGGAATAGTCGGACCAAGGATCTACAGGTTCTCTGATAGAAAGCTGAGTAAGAGGTAAATGAGAAAATGTGACTGGTATGTAGCTCCTGCAGTAAGAGGTAGACCTCATAATTAGGACTTATGTAGCTGTTGCAGGTATATATGTGTTAGGTTGTAGTTTGGAAAGTATGATATTGCTAGTCTCATGAAATCTCGTAAGCGAGATTTATATCTAACATGGCGGTCTCCATAGGAACTAACGAATGCTGAGGTAAGATAATTGTGTTCTATTTGTGACGTAACCATGATTATTACGTATTGTGCACCGTTAGGTATCCAGGTAGTTGTGAGGGGTCAGTTAGTAGACGTTGCAACTGTGTGCGCACGTATCTTTGGATGTAAGCCTGTAGCGAATAAATAGCCACAGTTCTTCAATACAAAGTTGTTCTTCTTCCACGAATCTAACATATGTATGCTTCACTTTATGTAAAGAATGAATTTTGCCTGGTACAATAGTAGTTTCAGATACTGGTGAAAATGTAGAAATAGTCTGTACAGCTGATTGCTATTTAGGCTAAGTTTTCATTGTAGAAGCACTCAGTAAGCTTAATCTACACTATAAAACAATGCCTAGCATAACAGGCAGTACAATATAAATGGTGAATCATATTGATAAGTGATGTTTAATCACATATTTCACATTTTCATTAACAAAGTTTGTTATCTCTTGTAGTGGTGGTCCGATTAATTGAAGTAATTGAAGATTGGTCACAGTGACTAAATGACCAAGCAATTGGTCATGTTTCCTCATAATCGAACACAAACGATTTTGGAACTCCAGTTTTAGTTTTTCAAAGCCTTCACGATGGAAATATCGTAGACGTTGTCAGGGTCTGAAAGCATGTTTAATTCTTAGAAAATTCATTTCACTTACTGAAAAGTCATGACTGAATATTTCTTGAAGACTCCAGGAAGGTCAATTGTGAGATTTCAACCAATTCACAACCAGGTAATAGTCAGGGATTCAGGAGAGAGATTGTTGAGATGACTCCATCAAGGTTTTTTTCAACTTCCCATAAACAGTTTGCCAAACCATCAGCTGAAGTGATGGAACTAGATATTACTTGAAAAAGTGGAATAGGAAGTGAGAAGATAGACATAACTAATCAGCGTTTATTTCAGCTACCCAGATGTTTGGTGGACTGGCAGATGGACTGGCAGATGAAGTGATGGAACCACAGGCAACCCCAAGAAGAGACATAAAGAGGGAGATCTTAGACATGACTCCATCAAGTTATATTTCAACTGACCAGAATATGTTGGCTGGACCAGAATCAGAAATGAGGGAACCTGATAATATTCCAGAAGGTGGATTAAAAAGTGAGATTAGAGACTTGACTCTATCAGGTGTTTTTTCAACTCCCAGAAAAAGAGCTGCTGCAGAAGCAGCGGAAATAGTGGCTCCAGATATCACACTAAGATGTAGAAATTTCACAGTTACGACTGTATCAAGTTCTATTTCACCTGTTAGGAAAACATTTACAGCCCCAGCAGATGGAGTGGTGCAGTCACCGGAAACTCCAAAAGGTGAATTAAAGAAAGAAATGACTGATATGACTGCATCAATTTTTATATCTCCTGCCACCAAAGAAGCTGCAAAATCAGTAACTGAAGTGATGGAAACACAAGGGACTTCAAGGGATGACTTAAGAAATGAGAAAGTAGACATGATGCCATCAATCTATATCCTTAATGCCCAGAAAAAGGCTGCTGAAACGATGGACCTGTCAGAGACTTCGTCCAGAACTGACAAAGAGGAAGATGAGATTCACCTGCCTGTGGGTCACAAAGGAAGAAGTAAGTATTGCTGTGTCAAGTACAAGTATCTAAAGACATGTTTATTGGTAGAATGTTTAATTTTAATTTTAATCTTCAGTATTAGTATTAGTTTTGTGATACCTTATTTTAAGACCTCTTATTGTCCATTTAAGATTAGCGAACTCCCAGTCACATGAAAATTATGACTTATCACATGTTTACCAAAGGGAGATAAGCCTAAATCATAGTAATTGTATTGTCACAAATTGGAGACCTATATACTGTCTTAAATTCTTAATGTATTTTACACACTTGCTTCATCTTGCATTGCTGAAGGCCTAAACAAGGTTCTTTGTTCTTCCTTTCCTCACTAATGAAGATTGAACTGTTTTTTATGGCCAACAGATAAAGAGGACAATGTGTGAGTTTTGTATGATACCCTCCTGTACACAGAATCAAATAATATCCCTGGAATGCTACTGTGTGTTGTTTTTGCTAAAACCTTTGACTCACTTGAAATCCCTTTCTTTCTTCAGTGTTGGACCTAATATAAAAAAAAAAGGGATAGTGATATTAAATCCTGCATGATTATTAATGGCAAACTGTCCTCTTCTTTCAACAGGGTTGCAGGGTTTTAGGCAAGGTTGTCCATTGCCTCCATACCAAATGTTAAACTATTTATTTTTAACTCTCTCCACACCCATGTTTTCTTAAAAAACTTTAACAGATACCTTTTAATTCTTATGGAAACCAAAGCCTGATAAAAAGAGATTTTTGTGTTCAAACCAATCAAGGATGGTGGCCTTGGTATGATTAATGTTTTCAATCATGTAATGGTCCTGAAAATTATCGTTGATAAGAAAATGTGTTTATATTGACTTCAAATAGAAGGAAATTTTACCAGACTATTCTTTGAAATGGAGAATTTTGGAAACTTTGGAAGTGAATTCCTCAAGACTTGAAAGATATTATAAACCCTTTCTGGAAACTTGTTATGAAGCTAAGATGACCTTCAGAAAAGGTGAATACAAGCTCCTTTAAGGATTTTTTATCCAAATATATTTGCTATAGTCTAGAAAATATTAGCGGATGAAAAAATTGTTTACAGAAAAAATTTGTTCGATAAGTGTGTGTGACAAATATGTGGTCTTGTAAAAGTACTTGGAGAGTAACTGTTCATTAATGTGTTTGATCCAAACGCTTCCTTTATACAGTATTATTGAATTACAATATCAAATAGAAAATACTTGTAACTTTTGAACATTGTTAAGGAAAACCTGGCAAATGGCATGGAGGGATCTCCATGGAAACAATAAATATGCTCTATTAACATGTTGACTGCCTATCATGAGTATACTCGTATTATCAATTCTGGCCGAATATGCCACTACGAGTTATCTTGTAGCTACATCAGTGGTATTTTAAAACAAATTTCACATGATGGCAAATTAGGCACAAGAAACAAACGTCTCCTGGCGTTCTTTGTTACCGCCAGGAGACGATTGCTTCTTGTGCCTATTTTTGCCAACATGTGAAACTTTCTAGATGGCATTGTGTATTCATATTATGAACAAGTTTTCCATTTCTACTTCCATCTTCAGTGCTTCAAATGTCTAGTCATTATGTATGTGTGAATGGTGTATGTGTTTTGTTTCATGGCATAACATCTGTATTTTCTATTACTAAAACAAAATATTCAGAAGTAACTCTCTGCAGCTGGATCCTGACTGCCTGATACCTTGGTTCCTCTGTGTAACAGGAAACACGTAATAGGAATTACAGAAATAAAATGTCAATTACAAAAAATGTATTAGTTTTTGTAACAGGGATTTGATGCTCAAGTGGTTGGAAGTGAATTCATACACTTGAAAATGTCAAAACTAATGTTTCATATGCCCTGCAATGTCAGTGTTTACTGATTAGGGAGAAACAATGTATTTTGTTTCCTACTACTTGTTCACATGTTTAATTTTTATGGTTCCATTTGCAGATTTGTTGCAATGTACCCTGAACAGCTTGAATGGACAAAGAAGAAAAGATATGTCAAATATAAACAAACCACCTGCAGGAGGAGAAGAAGCTGACAAAGACTGTACAGTATCTATTACAGTAGACAGATCAATAGGCAAACTTCAAAAACATGGTGAAAGGAGACCAAGAGGCAGACCTCGTAAACATGACTCTCTTAAGGCTGTTGCACCTAGACCAAGAGGTAGGTAGACCTTTCACCTAGACCATGACTGTCTCACATGATTCTCTTTCAGGCTGTTGCACCTAGACCAAGAGGTAGACCTCGTAAACATGACTGTCTTAAGGCTCTTTCACCTAGACCAAGAGGTAGACCTCGTAAACATGACTCTCTTAAAGCTGTTGCCCCTCGACCAATAGGCAGACCTCGTAAACATGATTCATGTATGGCTGTCGAAGTGAGACAAACAGGTAGACGTTGTGATCATGATTCACAAATGGCTGTTGCACCTAGACCAATAGGTAGACCTCGTAAACATGACTCTCTTAAGGCTGTTGCACCTAGACCAATAGGTAGACCTCGTAAACATGACTCTCTTGAGGCTGTTGCACTTAGACCAATAGGCAGACCTAGTAAACATGACTTTCTTAAGGCTGTTGCACTTAGACCATTAGGCAGACCTTGTAAACATGACTCTCTTGAGGCTGTTGCACCAAGACCAATTGGCAGACCTCATAAACATGACTCTCTTAAGGCTGTTGCCCCTAGACCAATAGGCAGACCTCGTAAACATGACTCTCTTAAGGCTGTTGCACCCAGACCAATAGGCAGACCTCATAAACATGACTTTCTTAAGGCTGTTGCACTTAGACCATTAGGCAGACCTTGTAAACATGACTCTCTTGAGGCTGTTGCACCAAGACCAATAGGCAGACCTCATAAACATGACTCTCTTAAGGCTGTTGCCCCTAGACCAATAGGCAGACCTCGTAAACATGACTTTCTTGAGGCTGTTGCTCCCAGACCAATAGGCAGACCTTGTAAACATGACTCTCTTAAGGCTGTTGCACCCAGACCAAGAGGCAGACCTCGTAAACATGATTCATGTATGGCTGTCGAAGTGAGACAAACAGGTAGACGTTGTGATCATGATTCACAAATGGCTGTTGCACCTAGACCAATAGGTAGACCTTGTAAACATGACTTTCTTAAGGCTGTTGCACCTAGACCAATAGGTAGACCTCGTAAACATGACTCTCTTAAGGCTGTTGCACCTAGACCAATAGGCAGACCTCGTAAACATGACTCTCTTAAGGCTGTTGCCCCTCGACCAATAGGCAGACCTCGTAAACATGATTCATGTATGGCTGTCGAAGTGAGACAAACAGGTAGACCTTGTGATCATGATTCACAAATGGCTGTTGCACCTAGACCAATAGGTAGACCTCGTAATCATGACTCTCTTAAGGCTGTTGCACCTAGACCAATAGGTAGACCTCGTAAACATGACCCTCTTAAGGCTGTTGCACCAAGACCAATAGGCAGACCTCATAAAAATGACTCTCTTAAGGCTGTTGCACCTAGACCAATAGGTAGACCTCGTAAACATGACTCTCTTAAGGCTGTTGCACCTAGACCAATAGGCAGACCTTGTAAAATGACTCTCTTAAGGCTGTTGCCCCTAGACCAACAGACTGACTCTTAAGGCTGTTGCACTTAGACCAATAGGCAGACCTCATAAACATGACTCTCTTGAACCAAGACCAATAGGCAAACCTCATAAACATGACTCTCTTAAGGCTGTTGCACTTAGACCAATAGGCAGACCTCGTAAACATGACTTTCTTCTGTTGCACTTAGACCAATTGGCAGACCTCAGAAACATGACTCTCTTGAGGCTGTTGCACTTAGACCAATAGGCAGACCTAGTAAACATGACTTTCTTAAGGCTGTTGCACTTAGACCATTAGGCAGACCTTGTAAACATGACTCTCTTGAGGCTGTTGCACCAAGACCAATAGGCAGACCTCATAAACATGACTCTCTTAAGGCTGTTGCCCCTAGACCAATAGGCAGACCTCGTAAACATGACTCTCTTAAGGCTGTTGCACCTAGACCAATAGGCAGACCTCATAAACATGACTCTCTTAAGGCTGTTGCACCTAGACCAATAGGCAGACCTCATAAACATGACTCTCTTAAGGCTGTTGCACCCTAGACCAATAGGCAGACCTCAGTAAACATGACTCTCTTAAGGCTGTTGCCACCAAGACCAATAGGCAGACCTGTCAGTAGAACATGACTTGTCTTAAGGCTGTTGCACCTAGACCAATAGGCAGACCTCATAAACATGACTCTCTTAAGGCTGTTGCACCTAGACCAATAGGCAGACCTCATAAACATGACTCTCTTGAGGCTGTTGCACCTAGACCAATAGGCAGACCTCATAAACATGACTCTCTTAAGGCTGTTGCACCTAGACCAATAGGCAGACCTCGTAAACATGACTCTCTTAAGGCTGTTGCACTTAGACCAATAGGCAGACCTCGTAAACATGACTCTCTTAAGGCTGTTGCACTTAGACCAATAGGCAGACCTAGTAAACATGACTTTCTTAAGGCTGTTGCACTTAGACCAATAGGCAGACCTTGTAAACATGACTCTCTTAAGGCTGTTGCACCTAGACCAATAGGCAGACCTCATAAACATGACTCTCTTAAGGCTGTTGCACCTAGACCAATAGGCAGACCTCATAACATGACTCTCTTAAGGCTGTTGCACCTAGACCAAGAGGCAGACCTCGTAAACATGACTCTCTTAAGGCTGTTGCACCTAGACCAATAGGCAGACCTCGTAAACATGACTCTCTTAAGGCTGTTGCACCTAGACCAAGAGGCAGACCTCATAAACATGACTTTCTTAAGGCTGTTGCACTTAGACCATTAGGCAGACCTCATAAACTTGACTCTCTTAACGATGTTGCACCCAGACCAATAGGCAGACCTCGTAAACATGACTCTCTTAAAGCTGTTGCACTTAGACCATTAGGCAGACCTCAGTAAACATGACTCTCTTGAGGCTGTTTCACCAAGACCAATAGGCAGACCTCGTAAACATGACTCTCTTAAGGCTGTTGCACCTAGACCAAGAGGCAGACCTCGTAAACATGACTCTCTTAAGGCTGTTGCCCCTAGACCAATAGGCAGACCTCATAAAATGACTCTCTTAAGGCTGTTGCCCCTAGACCAATAGGCAGAATTCGTAAAACATGACTCTCTTAAGGCTGTTGCCCACCAATAGACCAACTGTCTTAGGCAGTCGCCTAGACCAAGAAACATGAAACATGACTCTCCTAAGGCTGTTGCGCTTAGACCAATAGGCAGACCTCATAAACATGACTTTCTTAAGGCTGTTGCACTTAGACCATTAGGCAGACCTCGTAAACATGACTCTCTTGAGGCTGTTTCACCAAGACCAATAGGCAGACCTCGTAAACATGACTCTCTTAAGGCTGTTGCACCTAGACCAATAGGCAGACCTCGTAAACATGACACTCTTAAGGCTGTTACACTTAGACCAAGAGGCAGACCTTGTAAACATGATTCATGTATGGCTCTCGAAGTGAGACATGGTAGACCTTGTGATCACGACTCACTTCTCTCACTTATGGCTGCTGCAGGAAGAGCAAGAAGTAGACATTGTGAACACGGCTTCCTCATGGCATATGATGGTAATTATTACTCTTATATTACAGTGACGTGCAGTGAGTGAAAGGTCGAAATCAGCTTCATGGTGATGGCATCCATTGTATCGTATTTATGTCCAATAAGACCTGCAATCTGTGCAAGGTGATGAAGCGTATCATGTAGTGACACTTGGCGACTGAGTTGATTATGTGTCATCATACCACAATAATATGTAGTACATAATATCAGTAATAATTTTGCAGGCTCCAATACTGTAAATAACATATTTTTTTGCGTCAACGACATTTTTGCGAGTACCGACCAACAGACGTTTTTGTGTCATGATATTTGTGACTTTCCTAATTCTCAAAAACAGATTGCAACTGAAAGTTCTACCTAATGTAAATCCAATCACATATTAAAGGTTGCCACTAATCTTGAACTGAGCTCAGTAGAGTACTTCCGTGTGTACGCAATCAGTGGTGTTTTAAAAAAAACAACACATACTGCACAGGCCAGATCAAAGGGATTATATTGATTGGAATGCCTTTATCAAATTGTTGACAATGACATCACCAAAGCTGTTGATCTCAGGATGAAACCTATCCACACCCATGGGATGGTGTCGGCCTTTCAAACGGTCTCTAAAGAATCAGAATATGTGTTGAGTAGTTGACGCCTGTCTGGACTATCAGACGTTGACTGAATGAGTAACTTTGTTCAAGTATCCCTTGTTTGACATGTGATGTGTGAGTACTAGTAACAGTAGTAATTAGTGTTCCCCAAGTTGTTGTCATTGCTTAATTGATGTATTGTCTAGATCCGTTGTTATCCCCTGATGCATGATGCGGGGATATAGCATCAGGCTCCGTCCGTCCGTCCGTCCGTACAAATTGGAATATCTTAAGAACCGTTAACTAGATTCTTTTCATATTTGGTACCTAGGTTCATCACAGTATAAGAAAGGTCCAAGTCAGATTTGGTGACCTTGACCTTCATTTCAAAGGTCACAAGGGGACTTTAACGAGTTACCTGCATGTTAAGCTATCTCCAGAACCGTTCACTGGATTTTCATCATATTCCATACCAAGCTTTATCTAGGGAAGGCGCAGGGCCCAGTCAATTTTGGTGACCTTCACATAATTTTCAAGGTCATGGCGACACTTTGAAGATTTCAGCATGTTATATTGCATATTAAGATAGTCAGCATGTGTGTGTTTGAATAACTAAAGAGCAAGATATCAAGAGAGGTTTTTGTTGACATTTAACTTCATCTTAAACTTTCATTACTTTATAAGTTTGATTTGATATTTTGCGGTGGGGATTATGTCACCTTAGTGACAATGCTTGTTGATTATATGAACTGGTGAATAATAAATTGCGTCATGATGTTTTTGCGAGCTCAAGTCATTAGCAATTTTCACAAAAATATCATGCTTGCAAAAAATTTGTGATTTGCAGTTTTTACAGACTGTTGACATATAGTTGGAATATTGCTTTGTGTGGCAAACAAACAGTAATAATTAACCGTACATTTTGGGATCAAGGTGATCACCTCTGACCCACCCTTTTAATATATGACCTATAATACATTTTGTTATCTTTACAGATTTTTCTAATGTTAACTTGTTCTTTGGGTAAAATGTGATTTAATTATATGTTCATAATTTATGGCTGGCGTGTGTGTGCGTGCGTGTGTGTTAGGGCGAAGATGATGATGAAGGGGGGGTCACCCATGTTTTTCTGGGCAGGTAGGGGGTCATAAATTTTGTACATATGTATTTTAGGGGGGTCAGCATTTTTGTACATAAACATATTGAACGATTATGCTTAAATATTATGAGAAGGGGAGGGTCATTGATTTGGTACATGACATGAAGTGGGGTGGGGGGTGTCACTTTGTACATAAGTTTTATGGAAGGTCATTTACATTGTACATGATTCTCCATAAAAATCATCAAACACACACACACACACACACACACACACACACACCCTGTCATAAAATATGAATGGTCCCTTAGAGTAACAGAATTGTTATATGTATTTACAACTTGATTGCAGATGAAGATCATGGAAGTGAAGATGGACACAGGGATGATATCCTAACAGAAGAAACATCAAGTAATGATGACCAGTTTAGAGCAAGTACAGTGTTCAGTTCACCTTCAATCGGCAGACACAGTGTAGAGATTCCACCAACCATAGTAATCGTGAACATGGCAAATGGAATTATCATATCAGAAAGTGAAATAGGAAATAACGGAGAAGCTTTGGTCGCTGACATGATTCTGAAACCAGTAAGGGTAGACATATGTCAGGATGAAGTGAAGGAGTATTTTCACAGAAAATATGTGGGAACAAAGCATTCAAAAGAATGTTATTGTCTGCAAAAATGAAAGGAAAGAAGTGTTTTGATTATGAACCAAAGTTGAAAAGGAACGGAAACCAACATTTTGTATATGAAGACCCAATAAAAACAAAGCCAGTTTATCTGTCTCCTAGTGAAGCAAAATATTGTCTGTCCAGAGAATGTGGATTAAATAAGGTTCCATTCCAAGTAGGTTTACAGTGTAAAATTGTTGAAAAGGCTAAGAAAAATGTACCAAGGGCCAAAGAATTTGGAATTCAGAAAATATCTGGTTCAATGGATATTGGACACTTTACAAAGACAATGCCTGAATTATATCAAAGACTGATTTCTAAGTGCACTGATCCTTCTGAAATGATGGATAAGGAACCAGAGCCAGCTCCAGGAGAAAATGGCAGGAAGAGGAGAAGGGTTGTGACTCCTGAAGAAAGCTTAGGAACAGGTGATCAGGTTGAAGAAACAGAACATGCTGATGAATATGATGAGGCAGAAGTAGTAGATGAAGGACAGGTGTACATTGATAAAGATTGGACTGAAGATTGTCAGAAAGAAGAAGATGAGTTTGAAGATGAACATTTGTTGGTAACTTTTCTGCCAGATGAAGGACAGTTTGTTTTACAGGAGATAGATGAAGAACAGATGATGAAAGATGTAGATAAGATTGTCTCATCTAAAGCTTTGGTAGAACAGAGTGTTGTAAAGAAAGAAGTAGATCAGATTGTGGTAAATAAACCTGATGAAGACCAGTTTGTGGAAAGTGGGAAAGATGAACAACAGTCTCTTGAGCAGAGGGTTGGAGAAACATCTATTGTACAGAAGAAAGATAAAGGACAGTTTGGGGATGACGAACAAGAACAGAATGTGATACGAGAGGAATCAGAAAATGTGATTCTGGTAAAGCATGAAGTAGAAGAAGCAAATGTGGTGAAGGAAAATGCAGAACAGTGTGTTGTGCACAGGACAGAAGATTGGGTTGTAGTATTGCAGGAAGATGAACAGGCAACAAGAGAAGGGGAAGATGAAGCATATTTTGTTTCACAGGGGACAGATAAAGAACAGTTGTTGGTAAATGGTGAAGAACAGATTGTACTAGATGAAGAACAGATTGTTGTAAGAGGAAGAGTAGAACAAACTGTGTTAGAAGAAGAGCTTGAACAAGAACACATTGTAGTTAAGGAAAAGGTTGTGGTTCAGGATGCCGTAGATGATTGTATTGTCATTGAACAGGAAGGAGAACCCAGTGTGGTAAGGGAAGAGGTACAACAGAATGTGATAAAGAAAGCAGAACATATCTTAATACAGGAGGAAGAAGAAGATTGTATAGTGGTAGATCAGGAAATTGAAGGACACATTGTAGTTAAGGAAAGAGTTGAAAAGATTGTGGTTCAGGATGCCGTAGATGATTGTATTGTCATTGAACAGGAAGGAGAACCCAGTGTGGTAAGGGAAGAGGTACAACAGAATGTTGTAGTATTGATAGATGAGTGATAGGCTGGACCAAATCAGTGGTGACCAATGATTTATAATGATATACCAATATACCTCAAGACTATGTGCCAACTGTAGCACAGAACTGTCAGTAAATAAGACTGATTTAATTGATATTTGAGTAAGTTTTTCTTTTCAGAAAAAATGCCACACCAATAGAGGTTTCTTAAAGCACACGCTTTAATTCGCTCTAATTAAGAATCCAAACTGAGGATTGAGTTCAAACTTGACAAATTATGGTTAACACATTTTCGAGGATAGTTCACTCAAACAAAAATCACCGGAATTAGGATACCTCAAAGTCAGTATCGTGTGTGGCTTCCATGGGCATCGATGACGACGTTGCATCACCTGTACATGGAATGAATTGGATGGTTGATGAAGGCCATAGGCACTTAGGCCCATACTCTGCGAAATGCCTGACCAAGTCCAGCCACAGTTGTTGGCCTTGGTTGGAGATCATTCAGTCTTCTTTGGTGTTCTATTGGACTTCAATCCAGACTGAGTGTAGGGTTTGGATGCCATGTTGTCTTAGGAAGTTCAATGTTGCTCTGGCAGTGTGGGCACTAGCGTTGTCTTGCTGGAAGATGTGATTTCTGTGACGTCCAAGTGGTCAATGTACTGAGCAGCTGTCACGCCATTTCCTTGTCCTGCACCAAGGTTTCTGAACACCATGGGGCCAACTCTCTGGTTCAGACCGATTGCACCCTATACCATGATGCTTGGACAACCCCACGATTCTCTTTCAACAATACACTAATTGGAAAACCGTTCCCCACGCCTTCGCCATACTCTCACTCTGCCATCGGCTTTCATCAGAAAAAGCACAGTTCGCCATCATGGATAACGCCAGTTTCGATGCTGAGTTGCCCATTGCAGTCGGTTTGGGCAGTGTCGAACAGGACAGGACCACGATATGGTCTCTGACAGCAGAGGTTGCGCATAATCTGTCGGTCTTGACATTGGGATGTTACTGAAATTCGTCCACTGGGCGTACGGTCTTGGACGCTGCTAGTGGCCTGGTACCGCTCCTGCAGTAAGTAGATTGTCCTGACATGAACATTAAAATGATTGGCCTTCCCTGCAGTCTGGCCAACTTGCTATCGTCCTCAGGTTTTGGTTCCTCTGATCTCTTGTAAGTCATGCGGTGGCGACTGTGTCAAAACAAGAACGATTTCAGACGAGTTTCAGACTCGCTTACATTGGTAACAGGAATGTCATACGGAACCTTTTACCGTGTCTTTCTTTTTAGGTATGTGTTGCGCAGTGGAATTGAAAACTAAACTAACTAAAATTAAAGTATCGAAATATGCTATATGGGGAACTAAATGTGACTCTCTTGATTAAACTGATGAAATAATTCAAACAATACAAATTGGGAACTAAACGTGAATCTCTTATAACAAATGCTAATGAGGCAAGAAACTTAATGTGATACCTTAAATTCTATTATCTACAGTATCTAGCTCTATTGTAGCGTAAGTCTACTATCTACAGTATCTAGCTCTATAGCAGCTAGCTATATGGAACTTCTATTTCGATGCACTAATACATTCTTTATATCAGTCTATCTAAATCCTACTTTGACGAGCTGTCACCCAACTCAAGAAACAACCGAACTCAAGGGAAACCTGAACACAACTGACGTCTAAACTCAATTACGTCTTAACCCAAGCATAACCTGTACACAACTGACCGATTCGACCGTTTCCCACGTGGACAAGAGCACGTGGCCTGACCGCACGTGAAAGTCATGCTTCTCGGTGAGCCGCGAAGCATGGTGCGTTTACGCGATCTGTTCCAACTGTTTTGTCTCCAGACCAGTATGCTTTTTCATCAGAAAACACACTGATGTTAGCAATAACTGTCAATTTGGATTGAAAAACATTTTAACAAAATGGTACAAGCCAGAAGGGTGAAGCATTTTACAACGATATTCAAATGAATTGAATGTTGTGCATATGACAATGTCTGCAACTGTTTTGCAAATATAAAACGTCAGTGCCAGTCAAATAGTCTTGACTATCCTTGTGATAGATTCCACTCAGTGGAAAGGACATGGAGCCGTGAATGGATCACTAAAATTCAGCGATAACACCAGGTGTTCATGAAAAGGGTTAGGGCTTCCACGGGTACTCGAGGACGAGTCGGGTTCAGCTGGACTCGAGTCCATTTTCAAGGACTCGAGGACTCGAAAAGGGGAGATAACTCGAATTATTTGACGTTGACAGACTGTCTGCCATGTGCTAAGCACGAGCGGCCGTTAACGTCTAATATTAAGATAAGATATAACTTTATTATCCCGGAGGAAATTCTTATACATCCCAAACTGTCTCAAAATGAATATATACACAGTTCACAAAACTATACACAATAATTACATGCTCAAAATGAATGCTATTTACAAATAAATCTGACATGATATAATTCAATTAACCACATAGGTAAAGAGGCTGAATAATTCTAGTTCTACTTAGATGATGGTGTGATTCAAAATATCTGTTGCATTCACGAATACTTGATGGTATGAAAGACTGTCGAGCTCTGTTTGTTTTGAAGGAGGGGAATCGACAGCAGCGTCTAAAAGGAAGTAGTTCAAAATGGTGAGATCAAATATATCAACTATCAAATCTAATTTTAGCTGCCTTTTTGACAATCTGGCGCTCATAGATAAAGGGAATATACTCGAAAGACACTCCAGAAATTTTGCAAGCAGTATTAACAATTTTGAAAAGTTTGTTTTTGTTGCGATGAGACAGATCCCCATACCAACATAGAAAATTGTAGGTCAACACACTTTGAACAAAGGTTTGATAAAAAACTGTCATTACGGTTTTGTCAATGCCTTGACGATAATAATGTTCAGAATCAGAAATTAGGCCAGTAACAGTGGCGTCATCTGCAAATTTCACAGTAAACAAGTCATATATTGACAAGTAACAGTCATTGGTATACAATACGAAGAAAACGGATGAGGGAACACAGCCATGTGGATCTCGAGCAGGGGTTGAGAGAAAAGAAGATTGATAGCCATTGACTATGACATACTGAGTTCTATGTACCCTGAATTCTTTAACCAATCTGATAATGTTTTCATTAACACCTAAATTAAATAGTTTACTCCTCACACGGTGTGGCTGTATGGTATTAGATGTTACAAGTCTGCATATGAGAGTAAATATTATACATCGTTTGAGATTTCACTTCTTAAAATGATTAGGTAACTATCTTGACAATTGATAGACATGGAGAAAGATAAAAAAATTCAAATGTATGGGCGTATCTTGATCTGGATAGTGAAAAGAGCAAAATAACCATATGTCGCCTGTGCGGTATATCACTGCGTTTTGCAGGCAGTACAAGAAGTACGAAGAAAAAAAAATTTGTCAAGTAAACATCCAAATACTGATTCTGACCAATAGGAAATGTTAGTCACATGACGATATGAAGTCGGAAAGAAGTAAGTGTTCACTTGTGTGATCGGAACACGTCATGCAATGTACGCTATCGTTTGCTTGAAAGGTATGAATTTCGAGTACTCGGGTCCGAGTCGAGTCTCATCCCTCGAGTACTCGAGTCCAAAATAATGGACTCGTTGAAGCCCTAAAAAGGGTAATCATTTTCTGTCCTACCTGTAGCACCTGCCATCAGCAATGTGGAAGAAATGTAGTTCAGCCCCACACCGCAAATCAATATTCAATAAATGTAGTGATAAACATACGAGAAATGATGTTGGTAACCTGCCTCCTTGATTGCATCGTAAAAAATGTGGACAATAATGTGAATGTATGATGAAATGCATATACAGTACATATGTACAAGATCATTTGACCCCCAAACAAAGTGATATTGAGATAATGGCGTCGATGGATTTACCATTTTTGGGGTGAACAGTTGACTAGCTTTTGTAACAGTTTATGATGGGTGCCACCGGTTGTGCAGGATACACTCGCCTTTTGACGAACACCCGGTATCATCACAATTTGATAGTGATTCATAGACACATGCTGTCATCCTATTTCGTTTTGTCAGTCACTGGATTGTCGGCTCTAGACTCGATCCTGTATAGACCTCCGCCCTACAGATGTTACATTGCTCATTGAGGTGTTAAACAGGCAAAAAAAAACCACTTGCTCATAATATGTATACATGTGGTTTGCATTGTACAATTGACTTCTTATTATGTGTAAAGGGATTTGTGGTTATTATTTACTCCTATTCACACAGTAAACACTAGGGATGGGTATTGCAGAGAATTTTCATATTGCGATATATTGCGATGCGGAAGCATATATTGCGATATGTATTGCAATAAATTGCAAGAATTATTTTTTTAACAAACAACTATTTATAATCGATTTAAAATCACCATGCTTGATTAAGCTTTAATAAAAACTTTTAATCATGACCAAAAAAAAATGTAAATAATACTTGGCACAAATAAAAAAAGGAAAGGAACAATTTATAAAACGGAAATATACGAAGATTCCGAGTGTTACGAAGTTTTCCGAATGCATGTCAAAATACCGGTTTTCGATCAGCGTATCGCAATACGTATCGGTTTCTGAACCGGTAAATCGGTTATATTGCGCAACCCTAGTAAACACATATTTTGACTGACTGGCTTTATCGTCTAAGGCTTTGCGTCAATACCACGAGCCAAAATGTTAGAATTGGTCTTCAGTAACCCATGCTTGTGGTAAGAGGTGACTTAACGGGGTCGGTGGTCAGGCTCGCTGACTTGATTGACACGTGTCATCGTATCCCAATGGCGTTGATCAATGTTCATGCTGTTGATCATTGTATTGGCTGGCGCAGACTCGGATTATTTACAGACCCCCGCCCTATAGCTGAAATATTACTGAGTAACAGAGAGAAAAGACACATCACGAAACTTCTTGAATGATCCAACTGCTGATGATTGCAAACATTCAAGGGAGGCAACACTAACTGACACTGATGACCTGTAGGAACCACACCACATGATAGTTTACGAGCGTTTTGCAACCTTTGATAATCCAGTCAAGTAACTTTAAATAATCTCCACCGACACAGAAGACAAATCAAATCTATGCTAACATTGTTCTATTTTGGGTGAAATTTCATAGTCTTGACTGGTTTATGATGTCAAGTTGATTCTCAACTTGAAACGCCTTCGCCATCCGCAGTTCAACTGACTGACTGAGTTTAGTTTTACGCCGCTTTTAGCAATATTCCAGCAATATCACGGCGGGGGACACCAGAAATGGGCTTAACACATTGTGCCCATGTAGGAAATCGAACCCGGGTCTTCGGCGTGACGAACCACTAGGCTACCCCACCGCCCCTCCGCAGTTCAAAGAAGTCAAAAGGTATATCATGCTGACCCGCGGTATGACAACTGCAGTATAACATTTAGAATGACATGTATGCTTTGTAGCATGTATTTCTTATGTCGCCCTGCTGTGGCATTGGGCAAGCGTCTGCGAGGCGTGGAGAGTAAAAACCGCACCACACACCAAACGTCTTCTATACCAGCTGCAGGTTGCTATGCCTCCCACCTCATACACCCACATACTACAACCCAAGATGTATCCATGGTTGATCAATTAACGGCTAAGTTCACAAACTGAGCTACAAAGCTGGGATTGTCAACAGCCAAATGGTAATAGGGAAGGTTCGATTCCCGTTTGTTCTGAGACACTCAACTGACCAGGGTTGTTCGCGTTCTGGACTCAAAGAGTCGTTTAGAAAAATGGGAATCGCTCCGTTCTCTCCTCACAAATCCCATCTTGTTGCTCTCCGTGGTGTCTCCACCTCCGCCTGCAACTTCCGATAAACAACCAGCTCTGTCTGTTCTCTCCTGCGCATCCTCGATAATCTCCAGGGTATACATTACGATCACTGTTCACCATATAGTGGAGTGATCGTAACATATACCCTGGAGATTATCGAGTATGTCTCCTGCGTAACGTGCGGGAAGGTTTTTAACCAACCCCTTGTTTCTTCAGGTTTGATACCCCCTTATCTAAGTGCCATCCTAGTTTCGCCAAAGGCCCCTGTTCCAAGCAAACGTAAAAAAAGATGGTTAACTTGCAAGAGTGGTGACTGGGAGAGAAATGATAGAGAAAATGAAAGTGAGAGACACAGAAAGGAAGATATGATAAAAATGAATGTTGGAAGGGTGCAGAGAAAGTGAGTGAGCATGGTTTTACGCCGCTTTTAGGAAAAATATATCACGGCTGGGGACGCCTGAAATGGGCTTCACACGTTGTACCCATGTGAGGAATCGAACCCGGGCCTTCAGCGTGACGAGCGGACGCTTTAACCATTAAGCTACCCCACAGACCCCAGAGAAAGACCGAGAGTAAGAAAAACGAGAGGAACAAAGAAAATATATTGAGAGAAAGAACGAATGAGATCTGAGAAATTGGAACAGATGAGGAAATGACGAGAAAGAGGATTGCTGCGGAGCTGGCAGCTGTAAGAAGGCGAGAAAAACACAGGAATGTTTGTAAACGAATGAGGGAAGAGTGTGATCATGAGACACTGTGTAAGAGATGTGGACAGAGATCCTTGCCAACATTGGGCCAACGTGCGAATGCTATCCGCAAATTTCTGATAATAGGACATAGGCGGATCCAGAAGGGGGTGCAGGGGTGCAATTACAAATGTTGAACGAGGTGAAAGAAGCGTCCATAAAACCAGCTTATTTTATAAGGGTAATGCTATTTTTGAGAGCATTATCATTTGCAGAAGCCCGAGGTCTTCCATTACTGCCCGACGAAGGAGGGCAGTTGAAAAAGACCGAGGGCTAATTCCATGTATGTTTGCTATAACAGGTTTTATAGCTAAAACACATGGAATTATCATGAAACGGCCCTCCTATTATAACAGAAATTTGCAGGCCGCTGCAAATGATATTGGACCGCTCAACCGTAAGCTGGGCCCCGTCTAGCTTTGTCGAACGTTAGCGCGCGCAAAGGGAGCCGGGAACCAGCTTAATGCTATACTGTGCTGGCTGGCCTCATGGAACTCTGGGTAGGAGAGTGAATGGTGTATTTCCGGTTTGGTCGTATGTATGCTTTATAGATACGTCTTACGTGAAACCAACGATATGGCATTATAACCAGGAAGGATAGTTAAAAGGCCGCGTGAGGTACGGCATTTTCTATGCAATCAACAAGGTGTTTGAGCTGATGTCGCCAGTAATGATCTGCTCAATGTCAAGACTGTAAACTCAACAGTATCCATAAAATATGTTGCTGAAAATTGACCACCAGTGAAAATGGAAATTCTAAGAAATAACAAAGGTGGTGTTAAACTTTGCCTTGATGGCTTTATGTACACTAAGAAGACAGCAAGTAATGTTGCCATTATATGGGGGTGTTCAGGGAAGACAGCATTCCATTGTTATGGAAAGGTCAGAACCACATTGGAGGTAAGTTTCTGTATAAGATAAGATAGATACGATAATTCTTTATTGTTCCAAGGGAAATTTGTTTTGCATCATACGTTCTCCAGTTTTTCATTCATAAAGCAGCCATACATAACATTGCAATTGGTAATCATGAAATAATCAGGATATAAATTCATCAATTTAGTACACAAACATATATAGATATTGAATAGAATTTGGACAATTAAAAGATAAGTCATTCACAGAATTTGTTGTTAATGCATCTAATACTAGCCGGAACAAATGAGTGGCGAACACTGTTTGTTCTAAAAGTTGGTATACGCTGCCTGCGTCCAGAAGGTAACGATGAATATTCAGAAAAGAGTATGTGAGTAGGATCGCTTAAAATTTTGTTTGCCTTTTTTGAAATTTGCTGCTCATAACAACTGCCGATACTTTCGATAGGAAGCCCAATAATTTTAGACACAGTGTTTACGATTTTTGAAAGTTTGTTTTTATTCTGAACAGACAGGTTCCCAAACCAACTCAAGAAATTAAAGTTTATGACACTTTGAATAAAGGTTTTGTAAAATAACATCATGATAGTTTGGTCGATTTTAAAATGTTTCATTTTCCACAAAAAATGCAAGCGTTGCTGTCCTTTTTTGTATGTTTTCTTATTGTTTTTCGTTCCAGGAGAGTTTCGAATCTAAGACAGTACCCAAATATTTGTATTCAGTTACTCTTTCAATTTCATTATCTTCAATAGTTACAGCATTTATTGTTGACTTAGCTTTTCTAAAATCTATGATCATTTCTTTGTTTTTTTTTTGCACATTCAAAAATAAAAAAATTGATTTACACCATTCTACAAATTTTGAAATTTCAGCTCTGTAACTAAGTTCTGATTCCCTAATAAGGCCTACCAATGTAGCATCATCCGTGGATTTGACTGTAAAACATGTTTCTGTGTTGGATACACAATCATTGGTGTACAATATAAACAAAATTGGTGAAATAACGCAACCTTGTGATGTGTTTACAATTGATGATTTCACATTATTAACTTGTACAAATTGTTGTCTGTTAACTAGAACTGAATTAATCCATTTGATGATGTTAGAATTAACATTCATTTTAAAAAGTTTATCAATTAACAAATGAGGTTGAATAGTATTAAAGGCAGATGAAAAATCAACAAACATTATTCTCACATAAGTACCATAGTTTTCTAAATGCTTATAGACATTGTTTAACAGAGTGATTGTTGCATCATCTACCCCACACGCCTTGTTCTGTATGCAAATTGTAATGGGTCAAGAATATGGCTGACTTCATTCAACAATGAGATCTTGACAAAATGTTCCAAACATTTCATGGCAATAGAGGTTAGGGCCACTGGTCTGAAGTCATTATTAACAGAGGGATTTTTCTCTTTTGGCAATGGAATAATTTTAGAGGTTTTCCAAAGAATGGGAACACTATGAGAATTAATTGATATCTGAAATAGCTCTTGAAAAATAACTACACTCTACATTCCATAAGAACAATCCCAAGCAAGTTATCAGACCCACAACATTTATGTGGATTTATCTTAGCGAATGAACTAATCACATCCTCTGTCGATATATTTAACATTTCACAAGGTGGAAGCGATTCCAATAAAAGTTTCCTTTCATCTGAAAAATTCCCAGTATCAAATCGGGAGTAGAATGAGTTTAACTCATTTGAAAAGTCATCACAGGATTCCAACTGTTGAGGCCTAATATTTGATCCAATGATAGTTTTTATGCCACTCCATGCATTACGTAAATTGTTATTTTTTTGTTTACCGAAACTTGTCTTTCAATCTTTGTTTTGTATTCATCTTCACATTTCCATGTTAAACAAGCAATCTCTTTCTGAATCTCTTTAACCTTGACCTTGTCCCCTGCACAAAAAGCCCTTTTCTTTTCATTTAAAACTGATTTGAACTCTTTAGTTACCCAAGGTTTGTTATTAGGAAATATTTTAATACATTTGACTGGCACAATGTTTTCTACACAGAAATTTATATAATCAGTTACTGTTGCAGCCTGTGCTGGTCCAGTCAAATATGACCAAGTCGGCGGGTTGTGAGAAATGTGTTTATTTGCTGTGTCGCTGTGTCGCTATGGCATGTGACACTCTGTAATAATAACAACAAAATATACAGTCAATATTTCCAAACACATTCACATATATACACACGGGTAAATTAAATATTGCAAAGAACAATTAAGATATCATTATCAAACCACTGCATACATATGATATGCAGTAATATAATTACATAAGAGGTTCATAAACATAAGCTCATACTCAAACAACTATTAGTTGATTGTCACTGATAGTTACACACATACTAAATCTGCATTGATTGATCATATATACATATACATGCAATATAACATTTGCATCTTGGCATATCAAGATGAGAAACTATAAAAAAAGCATACCCTGTGGGTGACACAAAAGTGTCGCCTCTGACCTGGGTGGTCGCCAACCCTCAGAACACTGAGCAGTACTCGGACGGTGTAACCTACAGTGTAAATAATATAAATACCATAACATTGTTGAAAGTGAGTACACAATGCAGTCAACATATATAAAATCTAAATATCATAACTTCCATATTTACAATTTCCTGATTATTACACCTTGGACAATAATCATACAGATAAATCGACAATATGCATTTAGATTAAAATAGTACACAACCATTACAATGAAATCTGACATATTCATCCATGACTCCATTCCTAACATTCATACTCATAAATCCCTAACTATTTACTATGTCACACATTAGATTACTTAAAGGTATTTAATACAATCAATAAGTTTAATCAGTCCACTTGCTTGATAACGGTGTTAGTACCTACACCGAAACGTCGCACTCATTGCAATAAAGAAGTTGACTATCCATAGAAATCAATTTTCCTTCATCTTCACAACTACTAAAATGCCTCTCAAAGAAAATAAGTTTAATATATTTCATACAGTAGACTTAGTTTAGTAAGTAATAATTTTAACTAACCTGTGGACTGATCTGTACGGTGGATGCAGTGCAGTGAATGTGACAGGTGCTGAGAGATGTTAAGATGGCTGGTGACATAGATATTCAAAATCACCAATCAAGACAAAGAACCAGGCTTAAAGGTCACATGCAACCAAAAAATCAAACATAATTAAAACACAATTATCACTTATTCATGACATATAATATACATTGCTGGTTATGAAAAAACATATAAACAAAATTATAAGCGTACAATCGCAAATCAAAAGTGCAAAATTGTGTACTTCGGTTTACTTCCCAAGAAACGAAGCAGCCGGGATACCAAACCCAGTGGGTGTGCAGTCAAGTGTAACGGCTGGTTCATTTGCAGATGCCCTCACGGCTAATTGTGTGTGTTATATAGAGATGTTGGGTTTTGTAAATACATGCTCATTTTATGTGTATAACATTTTGCAATCAACAGACATCATAACATGTCATGTGTTCAAGTATCACACCTGCCTGTCTGTGTAATTACATAATGTGACAGAGACCGAACTCGGGCCATAAATCAATGCATTTTGTTTATGGTGTATAGCCTGATTGGTGTTAAGTTCAAATTGCATGTGGTCAGTGATAGCAGCTGTGTATTGAACATTGTCATTAGCAGACAGGCAGGCAGACACACAGGTGTCAATAAAACAAGACATTGAGTTTTGTCTGTGACAACGACATATCTATATCACAGTTAGAAATTCTGTCAATGCTCAATAATGACATTGCTTTTAAGTATCAAACTGAGAAAGTGTCTCGGTAAGAAGAACGTGTGGTGAAATAGACAAATGAAATTATATAAACAGTTAATTTACTGTCATAAGATATAAAAAGCTTGCGCCTGTGAGATATCAACAAAACATTAGAAAAATAGCTCACACCAAAGCCTTCACCGAGTATTCACCTGACAACCCGCTTCCAAGCTGCACGAACCTATTTACTTGCGCACGTGCTATGAGCGCAGCCCAGCTGTTGAAACCCGTTTTCCCCAGAAAGTCTGGGGAAAGTTAGTGAATCGTTTGAACTCCGATTTCGCGCGATTTTTCATCGCGTTATTTTTCAGCTTTATAAGTTGAATTTGCATTTTTCATGATTTGTTTCGGTAAGTCCATACCGAAAGGTATCAGAATCTGCAAAGTTGTGTTTTACGTTGCATGTGACCTTTAAGTCCTTTGATCAAGACAATAAAACAATTACACTAAAATGGAATAACCTGACTACCCTAAAAATAAGAATGACCTGACCCTATAACCTGATTGAGCTATTAGAGTATTGAACCTGAGATGAAGGTAGACAGGCAACTAATTAGATTACTTATTATATACAAGCGGTAGTCTGTTGAACAATCATATACACTATATACAATGATAAAACCCGATTGGTACAAATAAACAAGTATAATTGTTTGACTTCATGCCTGTTACATTACAGTATTTGTAAACTCATTCAAATTATCACTAGTATGTTCAAACATATCCCAATTTGTACAATCAAAACTCCTCTCAACTGCTCTAAACAATCTTTTGTCCACGACTTTACATATTTTAAGACTAGCTTCTCTGACTTTAATTTTTGACAATACAAAGGAACTAAATAAACAGTATTGTGATCAGAAGTCCCCATCGGAGCCTTTGCAAAAGATTTGTAGGCATCCTTCACACTACCATAGCACAAGTCAATAGTTTTTCTAGCTCTTGTCAGACACTTTACATACTGATGGTATGATGGCAGAACATGTTTTAAGTCACATGCATTGAAATCTACGAGTATGAATTTTGGTGCCTCTGGTGAAAAACCATTAAAGTTTTTCCATAGTGGTTTGAATAGTGTCGGCAGCTCATTAAATATCCTGGCGAACAATGCTGTCCGGTAATTCCACGCACCTAAGCACATCGATCGAAACACTGCAACTAACATCTCTTATTTTTTGTGACTAAACATGCTGGTATGCATCACATTTACCTAGAAA